AAATATGCTATAATTATACTAGTTTTAGTCTAAATGGTCATATAAAAACGAAAAATGGATATTTCCATAAAATTCTTAAAAATAATCGGGATAAACAACAAATAAAATTCCTTATTTTTGGTACTTCTTTCTGCTTAATGCCCGTAAAATCAGAAAGTTTGAAAATAAGTTCGCAAACCAATATGATTTACATTCATCAAGGGTGGGTAGTAGCGAAGTAGTTGTAGTTCGCTACTGTAGCGAACTACAATTTTCAAGTAGCCAGTAGTTTTTGACTACTTTTTCAAAACAGTAGCTGTAGTTATAGCGAACTACATTTTGCCTAAAAGTAGCCAAGTAGTTGACTACTTTTCAAACAGCAAATCGCTATTCGCTACTTTTAAAATTGTTAGCAACTTGATAGAATAGAATGTTATTAAGACACAGTTTGCTTAAAATAAATACTCAATTTGCACGAATAAAGTATGCCGTGCAACTGTTCAAACTGTGCAAGTGCATGCCGTCTTATTTACTCGCGTAAGTCGATTTGTTATAGGTTACATTACAGCCTGAGCTATAGTAGATGTTCCAAATACAGTAAAATTAAAAAATATTGAGTAGCGAAATAGTTCGCTACATTTTTTAATCAGTAGCTGTAGTCAGTAGCGAACTACTTTTGTTCAAAAGTAGCAGTAGTTGTAGCTGACTACATATTTTTGAAGTAGCTGTAGTTATAGCGAACTACAAAAAGTTTGTAGTCAACCCACCCTTGACATTCATCAACAGTTTTTCTAAGCGATACAACACTGATTTTTACTATCCAGGAATCTCACTGAGTAATCAAATTTACTATAAAAATTATTGTTAAACCTAATATACTGTGGTACATACCACCGGTATTCTGTAGTGATTTTAGTATTTACCTTCCACTAAATTAAGTTAGCAATATCTGTACAGTGTTATCACACAACATGACACACCAAATCCTCGTACAATTTGATAAACCGTTCCTTACTTATTGCCGCACTGGTATTCTATGGTACATTAGGATTTTATCTACAGAATGTCCGATTGAAAAAATAATAGGATCTGCCAAATCTAACCCCAAGACCCCACAGGAAGAAAAAAATAATGAAAAACTACACTAAAAAATATTTAACAGGCTATGTTAAATGCATTTGACAAAACATGGCCAGAAATTCAGGACATGCGCCCGCAATATATCTCAGCGGTTTTTCCTCTGAAAAGTTATTCATACCTAACAAACGCAAGTTTTAACTAAAAAAATACATTTTGCTTAGTTTTTTGTTTAACTAAAGCAGAAAAATAGATATAATAGGTACTGTCGGCCTTTTACATACCTTTCATTTATTATGATGGGATATAAAGTGATGCGCATGGTAAACGACTCAAATATTTTGTGTATACATCGCTATCCCTCTGTGTAACCCTCACTGGAAGAAAGCCTGGTTCCTAAGCTTCTTGTTGATATCAAACATGGACGACAATTCATTAAACATATACAATTACTTTATGGTTTCCGTGTTTGGATGGCCTGATCCAAACACGCGGGAATGTTGCGAGGGTTAAGAAAAGCGAGCGAAACACGAGCCGAAGGCGAGTGATTTTGCCCGCTTTTCTTAACTCGAGCAACATTCCCAAGTGTTTGGATCATTCCATCCAAACACGGAAACCATAAAGTAATTGTTTTATAAAATAACAACAACACGATAGTCTTCCGTGTTTGGATGGCCTGATCCAAACACGGGTTTCGACCAATCAGAATACGCGTTATGTACATGTTATTTTATAATCGTTCTTCTTGCAATGTTTTACGGTCTATGGACATGGTATTTATGGGTAAAATATCAACATTTTGTCCCGTAAATTGGAACAAGTTAAAAAATTCGTATCACTATGAAATTATGTAGACAAGCAGGGGACAACATATATTTTACGACGCGAAGTCTGCAAATTTTACGAAGGGTTCAAGGGATACATGCGGCCAGAGCAAAATGTACGTTTTCTTCTTCTCAAGTTTTATTATACTTTATTATACGCCCATGTACTATGAAGTGAACTTGAATAATGGAACAACTTATAGGTAAGATTTCGATGCGAAACTCTTCTGTTTTATGGTCCAGATATAATTTATAATATTGCGAAGTCTGCAAATGACATAGCTATTATCAAACACGTTTAAATTGAAAAAAAACCGCGCCACTCCTAATGATTTATATATAACAAATCCGTCATTTTGTTTGTGAAAGTTCGCACATGCTCAGAATTCATGTCCGCAATTTCTGGCCATGGGAACAATTTGTGTGGTAATCTGTGGTACATATACACCTGTATAATGTTAGCATTTATAGTCTGGCTCAGAGTGTCAGGCCAGCTGCGCTGAGTGCAGGCTACAGCTTCGGCGAAACAGGAAACTCTCTATCTATAGTATTTCGAGGTATTTAGGGACATAATATTGAACGGTCAGTGTCCGTACGTGTTTCCTCGTATTTTTCATGTAGTTGCACCCCTATCAACCGAAGTTTTATTTAGGGACATATAGACACACCCATATTTGACGCATGCATCAGGGCCTTTTTTAACATACAAGCTGGGGGGGGGGGGGCAAATGCCCCCACGGAAAGTAAATTTTAGGCTTTATCCTTTGTCCTTGTTTAACAAAATCGTTTTAAATTGTTACGTTTCTCCACCACTAAGTAATGATAAATTATTGTTAATAATATTTTTATTT